AAACAAGTACAGTTTTCATAACTGCACAGTGGTAATCATCTGTAAATTTATGTTGTGAGTTGCATAAATAATATAAGGTATGCAAACTTCCTTTATATTGATACACGTGAATCATCTGCACATGTACTTTGGAAAATAATGTTCAATAAATCCTTACTCATCTGATATCATGAGGAATTTGGTATTATTTAGAACATGGTATTCCGATTAAAAAATGGTATAATTCTGTAATAATTATTACTATTTATTGAAATTAAGTCTTATTTAATGTAGTGTTTTAGATATTCTGGTTTTAAAAGTTTCTAGATGAAAAAGTGGATTCACTTAATATTTTCTTCAAACATTTCACTGTTTCTGTTAATTATAGTTAAATAGTAGCAAATAATAAAATATGTGACGCATGTCTGTTTTAACTAAACATCAAAATGACATTCAATAAAATATAATGATAATAATAATAATAATAATAATAATAATAATAATAATAATATGTACGCCATTCTTCAAACATTATGGGCCAAATTATATTGACAGTTGTTAGGTCAAATAATTTAGAAGTATACCCGTTTTTTAAGATGTTTTCAAATTAGTCAATTTCTACAGGAATTTGCTATACCGGAGGCGAGATTAAATTTCTATGAACTCATCAATTCTCTAGAGATCACAACTACACATTTTAGACGAGTGTCAAAACGATGTTAAGTGTAGACCTGAGATCCTGACCAAACTAATGAATTATTGTTACGAGATTATGAAAAATCGGTGAAGGCATTATGAATTCCATAGACAAAAAAAATAATTTCAAAGTTTGATGTACATTACCGGTGAGAGTACTCTACTGTTCTGTAGAATTTAAGTTTTATGTAGAAATTTGTTGCAAGTTATTCGTCGAGTTATTCGACATCGAAACTGATATTTCAGGAATTCAGTAAGCTATTGACCATATTTGTTTATCTATACATCATTTAATATATATTGCAGATGTCTAGTTATCGCTTATTTTAGTAAAGGGCTAATTACGGAAAAGAAATGTCAGATAAAATAAACTAAAGTATAAAAAGATGACAGCTGCGTTAAAACCTGACCATAACTATGAATATTAAATTTACCGTTTCAAACAGATTTTAAAACATTATATTTAAAACATGTATGTATCAATACGCATGCACTTCCTAGTGATCAATTTTGGAAATTTACAACACATTGTACACTGAAAACCATTTGCCGCTTCGCCATTCGCTACAGATTTCCCCTATTTTTATTTAACAACCCATTAATGAAGTTTCCTATCTGGAACAAATTCATCAAAGGTTCTCTTGCATATTAGCACTGAGTGAAAATTCCTCAGAACTATACCATTTACTTATCAAGTAACTCGGGTTATGTATTCATTTGGAAGTTATGTTACAAATTTTAAGTTTGAAATGCTTCCCAAAATAGTTTTCAGATGAGATCGGAATCTAATATGCTCTTAAATTACATGACAAGTGTATATTGAATTGAACAGGTTTTTATAAATTTTAACACCTAGGATAAAATTCTGTTCTAAACGAACGTGTTTATTAATTTCAGGAATATTGAATGTTGGCGTGAGAACGAAAAGCTAGTTTACACAAACGTAAGTGATGAGAAGTGATCCAAAGTGCAAAGTATTATTTCCAGTAATTCCTTAATCTGTCAATACTGACGTAATTTTATGACTATACTTAGAAACTGTCTATTTAAAAATATATGAGTATTCAGAGTAAACATAAGAAGATATTACTTTCAGTTAATAACTCATATGTTATATTAAAGAGAGCAAGAACAAAGGTTGGTGCAGAATAATATGAATTCATTTTATTTCGTTAGGTTCTCATCAGCTGCTTACAACCTAAAATATTTGAAATTCAACGTTATTACAGATATTGACATACTTAGACATAAGAGGGTGATGAAGGATGAACATGATGTAGCAAAGATGCTGTTAGAGATAATGAGGTTATAAAATTTGTTTCGAATATATATAGTTTGGGAGGGAAGGTTTCATAACATAGAAATTGCGATTAGAACTCATGGAATTAAAACACATTAGATGATTATGTAATAAAGTAACTGAAATAGATTAATGGTAATAAAGAGAGATATGAATTGAAATCAGTTATGAATGATGTAATTATAAAAATTTTTGGAAAGAGTTGGAGTGACGCAATAAATAAAAGAGGGGTTAATGTTACCAGGGCAAAGAAAGATTTATTACTGTTTCTTTTTGTATACAAAGATTTGGTTTTAAACGTTTGATTGCTATCGCTTCGGCGAATTTTAAAAGGTTGGAATTTGATTGTTTGTTGATCACCTTGAAGGACTTCAGTATGTCGATTTCGTGTCCTGTGTCAAGGAGACGTCTTGCGATAGCGCTGCTGAATGTTTTTGGTCCGTTTGATCTCAAACCCTTCGGAATATGTTCTTTGAATCGGACGTAGGCTCTCCTTTCTGTTCTACCAATGTAACTGCTTTGGCAGATACATGTAAATTTGTATACACAGCTGGTGGTAACATGAAAGGGATACCTGTCGACCTTTGATTGTGTCAAAGAACATGTTGTTTTGGACAGGACAATCAATTTAGCTGCTGGATATGTTTTTGTCAATGCAGTGTTTAGCCTCATATTGATTGACCTTGTGACATTATCACCTTTGAATTTGAGTTCAATAAAAACAGGTTTTTCATTTACAGTAGTTTCTTTTGGTATTTTATCTTCACGTTTTCCGTATTTCTCAATAAATTTCAGAGGGTATCCGTTATAATGGGAGCCAATTAGTTATTTAAAATAAAATAGCTGAAAACGTGTGTAAAGTTGGCCTAACGATTGCATATGACCCTTTATGTTTACAAGATATAGATAATGATATTAAAAAGAATTGAAATTACAATATTTTGAAAGTTGTGACCATAAAATATGATGGCATGTAAACTCATCTAGCTGCTCAATAGATGGTGATTAATCCAGAAGAATCCATGTCAGAAAAATGGCTACTGTTGTAACCACTCGCAATGAAACGTATTTGGCAGATACGGCTAACCAGTAGTGCTAGATATATAGAGCACCGCACATCAATCAATAGCAACAACTATTCCGGAAATGTCAGAGATCAATAATTTCCATTCTGCCTCACTCACTAAAGAGTTCGACCAACAGAGTAACTCAGAAAATCTCACGATCTGGTGTTTAGTTAATCAAAGTCTACAATGTGTACTTAAAGAAAAAGTAGTTTCTTCAATAATTTCCAAGTTATTAATAACGCAACATACAATCGTCGAAGAACGTTCATTTCCTAACCATTTTTGATAATTCCTAAGAATAAATGTTAAATATTTTGTAGAAACAAATTAATAATCCGGAAAACAAAGTTTGACAAACATATATAAGAAATATACTGAGGTAACAGTGCACATTTATAAACATAAGTGAATTCTTCAGAGGGAATCCAGTTAATGTCCAGGATCCAAGATAACTTCAATGAACATTTTACGAATGATAATTATTATTTCATATGTGTATTCTAAAAACAATTACAGAATCTATACCAGTACACAGACTTGGCAACATTTAAAAAGTAAGGGTATATTATTCGAAAAAATGTGATTAATATATTTATTTAGATTGATCATTTGTCAAAAAGGTAGTAATTGTGTGAAAAAAGTGTAATCAGAGGTGATAATATTTAAGAGTACAGTTTGATATCTGAGTATACAACATAACAGATATAAATTTCGAAAGCAAAGAATTACTTTGATGACCGATGTAAGAAAACATATGTACTCCAAAAAAGTGCCATAGCTACAACATCATGATTGTTTTGGAATGATAAATGTTGGACAGGACACGGAAGTTAGGAACCAGTATTTTCTTCATAAGAAGACTGAGACATCACGTATGCGAAGTGTTATTCCAGTCTCAGCACAATATGAATAGGTTCATCTACAACTAAAAAAAAGAGAAAACGAAAACCAAGAGCACGGAACAACTACAAAAAATTACTGTGATAGGTCTTTGGTCAAATATGTTCATTATAACAAAATAGGCGGGTTATTGTTCCAGGAGCCACCTAGTATGTAACCCAGAAGTCGGGGCGACTTACATATCTGTGTTGTGTCCTCCTGCGAGAAAGTCAAATCTCAGAAATATTTGAGTATTAAATCTACTACGGAATGAAACCTGTAAATTTGCATTACATACACGGTAAAATCACCAAAGCAAATCCACCTAAATTTAGTAATGGTAAATTCCAGATTCCACGACGAGCAGTATAAGAATAACTTGTTGAGCTTCATACTGACACTATTTTGTATATGAGTGAGATGTTAAGTATAAAGCTAATACACTAGCTTAGGATTATTACCATTAAGTAAGGATCTATTTCATCCAAGATTCCAAATGATTAAAGTAATTTTGGGATCCCTCTAAAATTTTATTGAACTTATTGCTATTCACTGATTCCTGAAGATATATTGAAAAAACTTATTATACGAATAGCAAATTAAGGATACATATCTCGTTTCCTTCAATAACTCAACAGGATGTACTGATTACTTCTTCTTAGTTTAAAAGCAGTGGTCCTAAAAGCCTGTGTAATAGACCTGTCACGGGAGCTAGTATAAAACAACCAACTAAATAATAAATTAAAATTGTTCATCTTTATTTATTTATTTGTTTCTAGAGTGTACTTTTCATCTTAATGCAAAACATGTATGAAACACTATCTAGATTACAAGTTTCGAGGAACCATTCCTTAAAAGTTTACATGCATTACTGACATACAAATCTGTTGATAATATAAACAAATAGATAAATACATATATCATATAACATGGAATTGTATATTGCTACAAATGTCACCTGATTCATTTATAAGAAGAAGAATAGAATGGGCATATGTACGAATAGTAGTAGAACATTTATTCTTGGAAGAGAAAAGAAAAGCATTTCCTATGTTAAACACCGATGATCGATCTCCTGACTAGATCACTGAACCATTGGAAACTTCGTGATGCTTCCAGTCACCTTTCATGTATTCACCTTGATTATTTATTGGATTTGAAAGTTGACGAATAGGATTTGTATGAGGTAGATTACGTACAGATTTAGGTTTGTTATTAATCATTAAAATCAATACATCTGTGCCATTGTTAATTGGCCGTTTAGCAACTGAGGTATCGTTATAATTTTGAAAAGTCCTATTCACATTACTATCAGTATTATCATTATTCGCACTAGTATTATTATTCATAGTGATATTACTATGGCTAAACAAATTATTTGAATAAATACTTGACTTGGTAATGACTATTCCATCCATTTGGTTTAAATTATTGTTTCGAAAATAAGGCAAAATGTGATTACTGGCTGTGCGTTTTGATAAAAAGTTATCATTAATATTATTAGTAGTAGTATATGGATATCTCTTATGCTTTTGCATAATATATCTATCTAAAGTACAATATGCCTCCGCATTATCTGATTCAATATCAGTAAAGTCTGTCTGACTGCCAATACTACGTCTCTTAGATAAATATGTTTTTTTGTAAGGGTATTGATTATTTCGTTTATCAGGATGTTGTTGATTGTTATGTTTGTTTGACTGGAGGATGTTGCATAAAGCACCATACGTGTTTGAATTGGTTGGTTTTGAATCTTTAAGACTTATAACACTACAACGACATTGTATAGTCCTGGCATTTATAGAAGGATTGTTCGTTATTTGTAAACTGCTCCACGAACTACGTGTATCATTCGTACCATTTCGAGTATTTTTACTACTGATAATAAAATTGGTCATATTGTCACTCGTGTATGGGATTAATTCCTTTTTTTCACTGGTTACATATGTTTTAGGTTGTTGGGCAAAAAATCCGCTAGAAACTGAATTAGAACTGATTTCTTCCATATCACCGTCATCATTATCGTCATCATTACCATTCACTTCATCACCGTCAATCGATGAATTCTGTTGTCCACAAACATGGAACAAGCTGAATGGTGTTATTTGTGCAACTTTTGTTGACAATGGAATTTTAATGAAACGATTTTTTACACAATATAATACAATTAATATAACTACAATAAAACTAATTGTGATGATTGTGCACCATATTATTAATATAATTGAAAGAGATAGTGTATGTTTGCTTTCCGTTTGTATAGATGTCATTGTTTTCAATTGTTCAATAACTGAAATATTTAATAATGAGGATTCCGATCGTGATTCTGGTAATGGTTGCTTATTTGAAAGTGAATTCATTTTAGTTGAGTTATCGTGATCATTTTCAATTAGATCAGATTGTCTTAAACAACCGATTCCATCTTTGATTAATGGACAAGTATATGGAAATATCATACTTAACTTAAGTGAATTGTATTGTGATGTTGGCAGATCACGTTTGTTTGTAAATACTATAATAATTAAATTATCAGGTTTTGTTGGAGATCTATCATTCATATCATTACTGTTACTCACATCATTGTCATCAATTAGTGCACATTTATGACATTTTGTGTTTAAATTAAAAGTAATCGGTACTGTATTGTCTAGCGGGTTTAGACGAATAAATGCGGGTTTATTAATTTGTCCTATTGTTTCTTCTACATCCGATTGAAAGTATTTTCCATTCTCCACATAATCATCTGACAAATATAATGGCGTTTGTCCGCTCTCCATTTCAAATGATCTTAAATGTTGTAGGTCGATTAAACTATCTGGATGCATATATACCGTATTCAACAAACGTACATCAGTAACCAATCCACCCAAACCTTGAAAGCATCTTGCATCTAATCGAACCATATTCAAATTTAAATGAAATTCTAATTGACCACTGCGTGATAGCAGAGTGCTCGTTGTTGGTGATGATGTTTGCAATAAATGACTCAATGCACCAGGCACAATTCCTCGGACAGATTCCTTATGACCTAGAACAAGTACACCAGTTTCTGTATTTCGTTCACAAGATATCATCTTTAGTTTTAGTGACTTTTTATCTTCGTTTGAAATACAATTTACCATATCCTGAGAATCATGTTCTATAAAGCATTCTATGGGACACTGATGAATGAGAAGAGAATTATAATTTGAATCTTTTGTGTCCAACACATAATTGCTGATGGATTCATCATGAATATCCGAATTGTTTGCTATTAAACGTCCTGAGAAGTATTTGCTTGTTTGACAAAATCTAATGGTCAATAATATAAAGACACAATTAAAACTATGCAGGATATGATTCATTGCAATAATTCTGAAATCACGCAATAGATCTTAAATTTATTACTTAGTTGTGTTTATCCAATACGAATTTGTGAGCCTCCATATTTCCAAGCTGTTTTATAGATAAGTAATAAAAACGGTATTAAGCAAGAGCAGTTGCCATGGTTTTTGTCATCATATTATTATAACAATGTAGACGGATCCGATATATTTATAAGTACATGATTGCACAGGTGATTAGAGTTTAAATCGCAATTGGTTGATACTTTTCGACCAATCAAGCATTTGTAACCTTAAGGTGGACGACTGTAATTACAGTAAAGCATTGAATTGGACAATTCGTTATTTTTATCAGAAGGGATTGTGTGGAGATTTTAGAAATTTCACTGGTTGAAATCATGAATCCATTGAAGCTAGACCACCATGGAAAACCTGGAAGTTATTTGCCAAAATTCGACAGCCGAGTGAATGTGAAGTTATGAATCTTTAAAGTAACCCATAATGTTTTTGAATAAAGAAAATGAAGGGAAGAATTTTATTTATGAATATTGGCAGAAAGTAATTCAGGCAATTTTAAAAAACATTCTGCAAATAAAAGAAAAACAAAATCGGGTATTATAAAATAAAGTCCTAAGTCATATCTGAACATTTTTAAAGCCGTAACTTAATCAAACGCAAATCAGATACCATGATTCTATTACACAGTGCTAAAGAAACAACCACTACCATCATTGAAGAAAAATAACATATAAGAATAACGAATGGACGTGAATCTCACTAAAAAACAGCAATAATTAGGTCGTCATTCAAACTAAGATAACTCCTAACTTAGTTTGTATGTATAAATCAAGCTAGTTTTGATTTATAATAGTGAAATATTTCGAATTAACGTATCGTATCTATGTTATGAAGGGATTGTTTGATTTTAGACCAGACTAGTAATTTTACGTCATTTTGACCAGACGTATAAGTCAAATCCTGCGGACTGAAACTTATATTTGTAATAACTAGTTCTAAAAGAAACCTAAATAAAATCCCACGAATTTTACACCATCATCGGATCTACAATAAACCTTAACACTCTCTTCATGTTCTCAATTATTAGAGATTAGGTTGGTATTTAAATCAAAAACAGACAAAGTCACTGACTCCTTTTACACATTAGAGGCATCTAGAACATTATTACATCACAAGAAATTTTATATGGTAGTTAATCTGTTAATTAACGTTAGATTTCTAAATGTTCATGTCACTGAATCTGGAAAGTTCATGAATGTTTTTTTACATTATTACGCATACGTTAACGAAAGTATCTTAAATTTATTGCAATTTTAAATTGATTCAATTCAGCATTTAAATATAAATTCAGTTACTTGGTTTTTAATCTAATGTTTTTATTTGAATGATGGTAATAGTCATTTGCCTAAAATGAAGTAATGCAACATCGTTTTAGTCCAACAGTTAAGCCACGTTTTAAGTCAAAAGTTTACTGTACGAACACGATAATTCTTAAGAATACTTAACGACTCAAAAATTCATGACCTATCGTTTGTCAAATTATATAATATCACCCATTGAAGGTGATATTGAAAATTGTGTTATTAGTAACAAATAATTCCTAGTCATAATGAAGTCATGTAATTATCAGTATTACTTTAAGGTACATAAAGTGCAAAAAAGATACATCCACAACATCAAGGTATATATAATATACATAATGTATTTTATCACGTTTGAGATGTTAGAGTTAACCGAAGTTTTCTGTTATGTACAAATCCAGTGCTGAGTAATGAGAAATGTCTTATGAAAAACACAAATATGCCGAAAGTTTGGGCTCCTATGCAAATCACATGTTTCTATGTTAAATACACCTAGAAGAGAAATGAAAAAGTCTTAGATGGAAAAATGTTACGTATAACATCAGCCGTTCAAGATAGTCGAAATTCAAGAAATACCATAAAAACAGCTATGAATACCACTGTGGTTTTCGTAAAAACCCTATGAGTAGTTGAAAAAATATACATCTAATTGTCTTTCAATTCAGTGTTGAACTTATCAATACAATATGAAGTAAATAGTTTAACATGATATCCTTTCTATACCCATCCATTTCGCGCTAGTGAAAAGTTGAAGTAGTAAAAACAGAATGAAAATGCAAATGGTGTATGTTACAAATAATTATCTCACTAGTATTATATATGTAAATTATATTTGAAATAATCTCAGCGATTGAAATTTAAATTTCAATCGCTGAGATTATTTCAAATATAATTTACATATATAATGACTTCTCTATACTCGGCGCCCAATATCTGTCAAACTATCCGTTCTAATCTTGACGAATATTCGTATAAAATATCTCACTAGTAATTTCTCAGATATTTATCTAACAAACAATAAAAGATAATCATTTAAAAAATAAAGATAAGTAAAAAATGATAAAAAGAAATTGAACTTCTGGCTGACAAGTGATTCGACTTCCTAGTCTATTTGATGCTGGATTCTGTGTCGTCAATTTTTAATATCCTTTTTAAGTTATTTAAAAACTATTTTGATTGACTATTCAATGAATGTGTCATTTACAAATTAGCCGACTTAATCCCAGCACTGTACTTCCATAGATACATAATCTTTTATAATAACTATTTCAATTAAACTAGTATTAACATTACACATCTCATATTATTTTTCTCTAAAAGGAAAACAATTTCACATCGTACACTGAATAAATGATCGCAAAGTAAAATAAAATTTGATCATTTATACTTTTGAATTAAATTCTTATGTGTCCATTAACAGGTCCATATATACAACTTTTTTTTTCAAAAAAGTTAGAAAACTTAGTTAAGACAAACATGTGTGTTAATACACTTTTTGTTCACTGTATTCTCTGAATAGATCTTGTTTGCTTTTGCTTTTTGAAAACGATTTACACATTCAAATTACACTCCAGAAGAGGGTGTTTTATGTCAACTGCAATCACCAGTAAATGCATATCGCTTCCAAGTTATTCGTTTTTTTCAAATCATTCAAGTAGAATGAAGTTACCTTAATAAGATTTAACTAAAACGTACAAAATTATATTTGACACAGAAATCCACGACTCCATCCTTTAAGTCAATAATGTCATTGAAATACAGAGTAATAATTGCATTTTTCTGCTTTAACATTTTTAGTCACATCACCTACTAAGCATATCCTTTCTTCGTTAAGCTACATTCTATTAGTACGGAGTAACTAAGTTTTATTTCTAACTAGTGTAGTAAAAAACTGTTATCACAACAACAGATAACTCTTTTGCTTTGCTTTACAATATTTTTGAAGGCATGGATAATTCATTTAGTACAAATGAACGGAGAATAGCTATAATACACCTCAGAAATATCTATATGATGCTGTATCGTTCTTCTGGATAACATATATTATCATACATATGTATACATATATATCATACCATATCGGAGATACTAAATAAAACTAGCAAACCTTGTGAGTCAAGTGCTTGTACTAAAAGATAACAAAATGAACTATTCAGGCTTCTCTTATGCAAAACAAATATCTTCAAATAGTCAAAATTGACAAATTAAAATGCGCTTATTAGTCAATATTAGGTAATTTATATATCAAGTATTAAGTCCATACAACACTTTACGGCTTGTTATTTCTTTTCACACAAAAAATCATCAGAAGGGGTTTTGTGGAGATTGTATTAATTTCAATAGTTGAAATCATGAGTCAATTGAAGCTAAACCATCATGGAAAACCCGGAATCACACTGCGGCCGTTTCGTCCTAGTATTGGACTCCTCAGCAGTACAAACCCACGATCCCACCAGTCTTTCCATAGCGGTCTAGCTTCAATTGACTCATGATCTCAAGTATTGAAAAAAAATTAATCAAAACTAAATTAGCAACTATCAGTTTTCACTTTTTTGAGTATTTCTGTTAACTGGTAACAGTGAACTACAGAACCTTCCTTATGATATTTTGATGTTGTTGACTGAATAAACCTGTCGCACAGTATAAATCTCTACACTGATACACGAACCTAGCTTAGACAACTTGAAATGTCAAAATATCATTCATAAGGTTAATTAATCATGTCGTTTGTTCGATTTTACTGATTAGATTTTGTATTTTTCTATCACTAATTCCTATGCAAATATTAGTCGACATAAAAACGAAGACCTTTGAGAAGTGTTTGCTCATACCGCTTATAAACCAATAGTGAGTAATCAACTCAGTCACGAGTATCAATAAATCTGACATGCAATCATGTACTGCTAACAAATTTAAATACGTAGTTGGGATCATGAATGAAGTGAAGTTAGACCACTATGGGAAACCTGGAAGCACTGGATAGCCGTTTCGTCCTGTTGCAGAACTCCTCAGCCGTGAGAAACCACGATTTCGCCTTGCGAGATTCGAACCCAGGACCTATCGGTCTCGAGCGCGAACGCTTGACCTCTAGATCACTGAGCCGGTATCCAACAGTGTTAATGTCTAACTTCAACTAATTCAAGAAACTGAGCGACACATCCACCAATGTCATTAGTGAGTTACTAACTGACAACAGACCCGGTTGAACTCCACTGGTCGCTGCTTCTCACTAGAACTCCATGATATACATCTCGCAGCCAGTCACTAGTGAGCATATGTTGATTAGTATCAGAAGAGGTAATACAAAGTTGTTTTTCAACGTATGGATTAAATTCTGTACATAATAATTGATTATTTGTAATTTGGTAACTTAGATATCTGAAGTTTTTATCCAACTGAAAATGTGGACATTTGGTCTATGGATTCTGAATAGTATCTTGATTTTAATCAGAATGTGTTCCGATCTCACTTATAAAACAAATTCGATAATATGCATTCATGAGGGGATGTTAACTGAAAAGAAATACTTTTCGTTTTTCTAATAAATTTGTAACATGAGAATCTGTTTATGCAGTATGATTAAGTGCATTCTGTAGAATCATGCTAATAGTGCGTTTTATTTTGTGTATGATTTTCATCATA